GAGTGGTGGTGCTGGGGGTTAGGGGAGTTCAGAACAAAGCATTTACATCCCCCTCCCTGGAATATGATTATAATTTGTAACTAGCAGCTATGACAAGCAGCTAAGCCAAGTTGTGAAAATAAAAAAGACATGTAAGCATCATGATTCAAAGAAGGGACCAATAAATCAATCTTATTTTCTGTTGAGACGATGCAATCCTCAAGTGCAGATTAATGAGTGTATTTAATGTGTAACAAACTATTATAGGAACTAAAAGGGCATCTGTTTGGGCTCCTGAATGCAGTTTCAGCTTCATTCTTAGGGTCCATGACAAGCAACGCCACCAACGGTCAAGAAATCTCTGCCTGCTCCCAAGACTGACCCCCCACCTTCGTCTGTCATACAAACTGTCTGCCCCCCCACCTCTGTACGACTGCGTGCTTCTGTCTGTGTGCATGCATAAAATAATTGCATTGTGAGAGACCGCAGGCCCGGAGTACGTATTAGAAATGTGACTTGACCCCGGCCGGCTGCAGCGAAGTCCCTGCATCAGACCGGCCGTGGGAAAAAGGCTAGACCTCTTTTCACAGCTGCCTCTGCCATTGCATTGAACCAATGAAGCTCCACCACCCCCAACCTGCCTCCCTGCTTATGCCCCCTTCCCCACCCCACCCTGTGACCACCCCACACCCCCTCGCTTTCCATTCACTGTGTAGCCATGCTGCCTTTCACAGGACACCCCCTTTCCTCCCTCCTGTTCGTCACCCTTCTGCACCCCACAATCACAGCCACCACCGAGCTTTAATGCAGCCACCATTCAGCACCGAGATGCCAGAGGCCACTCTGGTTCAAGGGCGAAATAAAGAAACAAATAACAATACAAAAAGTGCTAAAAGCAACTTATATGTATTGTGCATGCCAGACTAAAGAAAGCCTTCTTAATTTTTCTAACTGTCCTTGAGGCGTAGTTATTTTTTCCTTTGTTCTTCTATGAATCTGGGGCTTCCTTTATGTTAGCATACATCTCCCTTCTACATCCAATTGGCATTCCTCACACATTTATTGTAAGGCCTTCTCCTTCTTCTCAGTGATTTGTTTCTTATTTTTTATCCAGAGGGATTCATCTCCAATCATGCTCCATAATGTGTAGAGTATAATTGAAAAATCAAGCTGTCAAGTTTATGCATCCAATAAAACATAAAGCAAGCATGAAAAAAGACCTTACAAAACAAAAAAACTGCTTACATCTGATTGCTTGTTAGATATGTGTTTGGTTTCTAACACTTGTGTTCAAAGGAGGCAACCAAACAAACCGCAGACAAAGCAATCAGCTGGTTGAATGACAAGCAGAAATTAGAGCAACAATGTGGAGATGATTTATTTCTCAGGAACCACGAGGAAAGGAGCTGCTTTGATATTTTAATGAGAAAACCATTCATTCTTTTGTTTCTATTTTTTCTAACGTCTTCTTCAAGCCAGTGAGTTATGGACCTCTGAGAGGCTGTAATGTAAATCTGTATACCTTCCAGAGAAATGCTGCGGTTCAACTCAGAAAAAGGTTTTAAAAATAGGGGAGCATATCAGAGATGCATCGATAAGATTCTTGAATCGGATCTATGCTATAATGTTGACCGATAAACTGGATTGGATATCGGATGGATTGGATTGGATATTGGATATCGGATGAATGAGACCGATCCAATCATTTTTATTTTTTATATTTTTATTGTGCAGAGCACACACAGCAGCTAGTGATGATTTATATCTGTGTTCTTACCTGCTTATGTCAAACATGATCCCTTTCCTCACATGGAGAGGAATATGGTTAATTCATTCAACAGTGGTATCAGATCGATATCAGTTATTAGATATTGGATTGGATCAGTGCATCTCAAGTGCATGTGTAGGCATTTGTCAGGGATGCAGGGATGCATGTGCATGAATTAAGAGCTGTATGGTAAAGCCTTATAAACACTCTTTAGTGTAGAAGTTGGTCTACTGAGGGAAGAAGACTATTTTAGTTTTCTTTATTATAATTATGAGGACTTCAAATTAACCAATAGAAAGAAAAGAGAAGTAAGAAGCTTCTGGAAGTGTCCTTTCAGTATGTTGGGATTTTTTTCTAAAGCTGCCACTTAGAAAAAAGGATGGAGAGATCAGCAGACAGTGGGAAGTTTCAATGTCATACAGCCAAGCTCATCTGTGTCTTCCATATTTGTGCTTAAAAAGAAACCAGAATCCGATCAAACTGGTTTAAGCCAGTCAGATCACAGTTCGATGCATCTTTATTTCAAAGGTTACAGAAGTGCAGACAAACACCAACATGTTCTTAGAAGCAGTCGGGTCTCTCAGATAGGACACCAGCCGTGTTGAGGGGCAGCAGGAGGGGGTGACCACGGTGCGGGGGAGGTTTTACCCAAGAACCTGAAAGAACTCGATCTCTCTTAGCCAACATGCCATGACGGCGTGAAGCAGCAGCTTGAATTGCTTTCTCTCGGGTTGCGGCGATAGAAAGATGAGCCAGAATGGAGGGGATGAAAAAAAGAGGTGAGGGGTTCTGAGCTAAGGGGGACACAGACACGGTACACTGAGATATATGAACCAGAGTGAGGGATGTTCAGGTAGATCTGAAGTAATGTAAATCAGTGGATTACAGCTTTCCTACTCTTTCACTCTTTCCATATACATGAGAGTGTTCAAGTGTGGAAGTAGCAGTATTATGTGTGAAATCCCTCATTCTGCTGTCTGCACTTTGTACAGAAACAAATGCAAAACCTGTCCACAGGTCCTAAAGGAGGACAGGGCTGCAAGAATGAAGGAGAGAGAATGTGAGCTCTTAATTTTCTCTCATGAATACGGAGAAGATAGACAGAGTGCCACTTCTGGATTATTATGTCTCTGTATCAAATATAGCCTGTAGCTACGCCTTCACATCTAAAGCTTATGTCTAGCCAAAGCCTGTTTGCATCGATTTGACTAGTTTGTAGATATGATATTGACTAAGAAGCCCTCATTGAGTCGAGGCAAAGCAAAAAGAGCTTTAAGAGGTGGTCGAAAGCTATGGAGGAGGATAGCTACAGGCTGTGAAATCTCCTCTGATCTTTTCTTGTCTGATTCTCAAACGCAACCTCTTCTCTCAGGAGGTGAGAGCAAGCTGATATAGAACTAGACCAAAGTCACAGAACACGCATCTTCTAACCCTTAAGGACGTAAAAAAACAAAACAAAATCATTCCTTTTTTCTTCTTCTGTGGCGGCCCTATATCTCAGGGAGTCTGGCCTTCAAGTTCTGCTCTTGTCCGGCCTCTGTCTTTCCCTCTACTTTGTTCTTCACAGGAGGCTGAGCATGCACGAGCTGAGCAGCATTCACAGCGTGCTGCAGCAGTCAGGGAAGTGAAGGTAATCTTTAGTCCTGTCACTCAATGCTGAGAGGGAAACGGAGAAGAAGGCAGGCGAGGTGCATACTTCAGCCGTCTATCACTTCCAACATAATGCTTACCTCATAAAACACACGGCAGGAAAGGTTTTCCAGGTTAAAAAGTGGATATTAGTGCAAGATCATGAAAATTATGGAACATAAATGACTAGTTAGAGAAGCTTGAGAGATAAAGATACTCCTTTAGAAAGTAAAGATGTTAATTAGTATTCTGCATCAAGAAATTATCACTCAAAATTTCTCCACATGAGCCGAGTTGGCAATGGGAGAATAAAAGGGTAAGGATAGAGAGAATTAGTAAAGTGTGTGACTTTATACATGAGCCCACCTCACAAATATATCAGACTAAAGCAAACTATAAACTGCAAAAAGGCTTTAAAATAAACTTTAATAAGGAAATCAAAATATGAAGTAAACAAGTTACTCCGCTTTTATCTGCCAACACTAAATTATTAAACAAATATCTGATCGATCCTGATCAGGATTGGGGTCAAAAGTGACTAAAAACAAAGGTGAGTAGTTCAAACTAAATTAACTAAATTATACATGCAGGTGAAGCAAACTGGTATGACGTTCTTTCAAGTCTATAAAAAGTTTACTGAACCATTTTCTAATTGAGATTTAATTAAACAGTATAAAAAACAACAAAATTCCTTTTAATTGTTGCTGCCAGTGATGTCGCCAAAAGAACGATCCAACAATTTCTCCTTGTTGATAAGACGCCTCTGAAAAATATCTGATTGAATAAAAAAAAAAAAAAACATATATATATATTTTTCACTGTGTGGAAAATGAAGGATTACATCCTCTAGTTGGATGTTTGTGCTAAGTAACGTTATGCTTTAGGTTTTGTTCCAGTCTCCATCTTCTTTCTTTGAGATCAGCAGCTGCTTCCCCGGGTCTCTAGCCAATCATCAGCTGTCCCTGTTAAATTTCTGTGAAGCTACACTTATGGGAATTTTGGTCGCTCGACTGCCATTTGCCCTAATTTGTTTACAAAACTCTGGTAGTAGCATTAAAAACAACAATTCCAGCCATTGTGTGGAAACTAAGGATGTGAACCTATAACTCTTATTAAGGTACCAATTTAATATGAGCCTCTATCCAAGCAGTTCAAACAGCACAACAGCTAAAAATAATATTAGGTGCATTAATTAGATTTTTTGTGCATTCCTATTTAGTGTTTTAAATCGTTGGATTAAAATCAATATACTGAGGTTGTATGTCGTAATTGTACAGATTACATTTTAATTCCTGTGTTAATCATTTATATTATTTTTGCTGAAGTTGTCTTTTAAATAAAAGCATATAGACACTGGTTTGATGTTTTATTGCATTTTATTGTCCTAGTAAGAATAATTGAAAGCAGGAAGGACACCTGAAGCTCCACACTGAGGGGCATGAAAGGTTCTTTTCTATTTAAACTGAGAGCTATCGTCCATAAAGACCTATATGTGTGAGCTTTGATTTAAACAGGGAAATTATCAGTAAAATTTATGCTGTTTGCAAGTTTTGAGCATCTAAGTTCAAGTTCAAGAAAGCGGACCACAGCAGACAGGGTGCAGAACGGTGGGGCTTTTCCTCACCTCGAACATGGGAGTGATGATGTGACCCCTCTGCTGACCTCTGCTCCTCAGGTCACTTGAGATGAGAGTTTTTTTCTGAAGGACTTCCCTTAAGTATCCCTGTAAAACATAGAAACATTATTTTAACAAAAGATAGTTTGATGATATTTAAATTGCTGAACGGAGAAATTTGTATGTAACTGTTAGAGAAGTTTCTACTTGGACATGATTAGATGATTTAATCTTTCTAACTAAAAACAGAAATGAATGTTTTGCTTTCCAAGATTCAGAATCCCAAGAAAAATGCCTTTAAAGAAATGGATGAAAGCAAGAAAGAAAAGGGTTCAAAGCTTTTTGATAAATCACAAGACAGACGATCACAATTATCTTAAAGTATTTCTTTCATAAATGCGTTTAATCTCGTATTCAGGTACATGTGGAGAGTTTCTCCCCATATTCTCTCATAGCTGGTTAGGCCAGACAATAGACACACGTATATGCACAGATTCACACACAGAGGAACACACCCCACAAAACGATTACACCAAATGCTCAAAGATTACATCCACTGAAATCTGACGTCCTTCGTGGGTATAAAGCCTGCATGTCAGCTCTTTCAATTTCCCCCCCTCTTTCTCTTGCATGGGTCAGAGGCTGTTGCTAGGCTACCAAACCCAGGATACATAAGTTTAGAGAGAAAGGTTTATTGCACTGCAATCCAAGGTAAAAACGATAACAGGAAGCTGATGGTAAAATATGGATTTAGATAACCGAGACTCAAATGCTGTCACTTATGAATTAAACCGTAGAAGAAGAAAAGGACTTTTAACTAGGGCTGGGCATTTAATTGCATTTGCAACATAATCACAATTTAGAAAAATGCAAATTTCAAATCAGAGGCACTCAGTTTTTAATCACAATACATTTAATAAAAGATGCTAAATGTATCCTTCCAGCCCTTTAAATGGTGGTTATACGATAAAAGTGGGTATGCCGCGAAGAAGGGAAGACATAGTTGTTGCTAGCACCTAGATTAATGCATTGTAGTAGAAGTAAGAACTTGTTTGTGCAAGTTTAACAGTAAAGCTCTGCAACACTGGAATCTGGACAAGCAGGCTGTCAAGGTCATAAAAAAACTGAAACCCTGGATTAAAACATCGACATGCTTGTGCTAAGCAAAAAGGATTATTGCAATAAAATCGCAATATTGGTTAAAAATAATCACAAATCAGATTTCTGGAAATAATCGCTCAGCCCTTTTTTCAGTTCATTTACAAAGTTGGGATTGTTTTATCTGAAACATTACATAATATCTTGTTAAACACCACATCTGTATAAAATTATCCTTGTTCTGTGTCTCTGGGAATAAAATCCCGGCAGAAGAAGAGGTCTATGAAATAAATATCTTCATAGATTTGGCATTTTATATATTAACACAGGCTCTGCATAGGCAGGTTCTGCAAATATATAGGTCACATGCACATAGGAACAAAGTAAGCCTCTACTCTGCAGTCCACTATATTTTATCATGTTTATTGTAGCCCTTAGTGACAAAAAAGGAGGCACTCTGGGGGTAGTAACAAGGTGCACTCTCATAAACACCTCCATGGAAGTGTAAATGCAGGGATGCATGTGCACTCACACCCGTGCACTCTGCAGGGGAATCCAGTGGCCAATTGTGACACAATCAAGATAGCATCTATGGGATACAGAGCTTGCATCAAGGCTGTAATGCTAAAACAATGGCTTGGTTGTGTATAGGATAGAATATAGGACAACTGATCTGTCCAGACTAATCAGACCAGTGCAACATCTATAAATGCCCTTTGCAAACTAAATGAATAAAAGTAATTGCTAACGTGCTGTTACTAAAATTTGCAGGAATGACAGATTTGAATCTCTGACTCAAACCTCAATTTGTGTTCTTAATTGACACTACCATCTTCCTGTATGCAGAATAAATCTAGACCTCAGAAACTATTAAAAGGTAGTCAAGCAGATGTACAAATGGAGATGTACAAATCATCCAGACAATGAAATGTTTAATGCAGCCTAATGGCAGGTGCTGAGGAGATAGACTCAGTCTAGACTGGGCTCCATCTGGTGTGTAGAGGCCTCCTCCTCACAGCAGAGAGGGCCCAGACAGACAGACACATATTAATGTGGGAAAAAAAGACACGTCTAGGCTGCCTCTATGAATGCCTACCAGACTGCATTTGAATCTCAAAGGGGCTCTCCACATATCCTCCATTTATTAGCCCTCAGCAATGCATTAATTTCTGCTACAACAGAGTGAACATGGGGAGGGCAGTTTTGTCCGTGCAGAACAATCACAGCTGACGGATCCTGCTGTGTAAAATAATCCCCAGATTACTGTTTAAACTTTATCTTTAAGAAACACATGAATGAGCATCTCTCAATAAGTTTACACATTCATTTAAGAATACACTTCTTATGCATCAAAGTAGAATACTACGATAGCTGCATTTTACATTTTTGCCTAAAATAATTTGCATGCTGGAAAATTCTAATGAACAAGCTTGGCAAGATGCCCGTATCCTGCTCCGCTTTGGAAATGACACTGGATGTATAGGCACAAAACGAGCTTTACATTCAGATCCCTTCCATCTTTTGAAGGTTTAAAATTAAGTAGGTGTCAACACAAAGCAATAACGCTGCACAAAAACAGGAGTAAGGCAGCACAAAGACACAGCAATGCTAGCATCTCCCCTGATTTGTGACGCAGTACAAACCGGGGCCTAATGCCATGCAGGAAGGAAGGATATTTTTTGCACTGAAGTAGAAGCAACCACACAGCTTTAGCAGCTGTAAACACAGACCATAATTCAAACGTATTAACAAGGCTGTAGCGTGGAGTTAAACGTGCAGCTCAGCCAACCTTTCTTTAACTTGGATGGAGAGAAGAATCAGGCGATGGTGCACAAACTGGGTTAGAAAACAGGCCAAAGATTACTCTACTTCAGCAATAAGAGATATTTTTTGATGGAAATGGATCTCTGAGCTGGAGCTTCTTTTGATGCTTTAATCACACATGTTCCTTTGACACATTCAAATAATAAAATTAACATAGCATAATGATAATAATAATAATAATATATCTACTATAAAACTATCTTGAGGTTATGATTTTTTTTCCAAAAAAAGAACACATATCTATTCATAATAGTTTATATTTGAAACAGACATCATATTAAGGTGGGTCTAGCTGTTTAGCTGTAGCTGTTTCCAAAAAGCCAGGGTGTCTTCTTTGTAAAAAAAAAAAGGGAGAAGTTTCTAAACCACCTTCAGTCAGCAAACCAGCAGTATGCAGTGACATTTTCAGAAGGGCAATGCTGCTTCATACAGTTAGGACTTTAAACCACAGAATGTTTTTGTGATTTTGAAGGCTTAACTTTTTTTTTAAACCTCCCATTACACCAGCACCTGACACATATCTACTGATACCCATTTAGTATTTTTGTAACATATCATTCATTAGATATTATGTTTCTATGTTTGTGGATCAATGACCCAAAACCCTAACTTTAGGAACTATAGATCTAAGCCAAGCAGATCGGTGTTTTAGACAGGGAAATAAAATATATGACAAACTGAAGCTTATTTACATATTTTTCAATGAGACCATAAATACAATTGCAAAAGCACAAAAGCCTAATGACATAACAGTGTATTTACTTCCTGTGAATAGCTCTTTCCATTTTCCTGATGCAAGGCTTACTGAGGGCTGCTGGTAACCACGTGACTTCTGGAGGTCCTCCAATCGGATGTCTCTGACATCGCACACATCTCACCTTATATCTGCTGTTCAGCGGTATCCAAGAAAAAATGATAAAACAGCATATAGTCATGTCCGTTGTATTCACAGACTGGGAATGTTTCATTACGCACCAGAGCCTTCATCATCTTCATCACCACTCAGTGAATGGAGACTGTATCCGGCTGCTAACTACTGAAGCATCCCCTCATAAAAAAACAAAAACACATTTGGTCCCATTAATCCGTCTTGTGAAGGAGGATCAGCTCTTTTCTGCAGGGATGACCTTCCAAGGAGGAAGAAGGTGTATCGTTACCATCCACCCCGGGGCTCTCCCTCCTCTGTGCAGCCTGGATCTCTCCCTCCGTGCACGCATTCATCCATCGGCTCATCCGCTCAGGCAGCCCCCTTTTAACTCCTCTTCCAGCCCGCTCTGCCGTGATGATGGCGGAATTAGTTTATACATTCGGTTCTCTAGCTTTATGATATTACATAAACTCATACAGCTAGATAACCAAAGAGAAAAACTAACCCACGTCTCTTAAAGGGGCCGCCGTCGGGAGCTGGCTGTGTTGTGGTCACATGGAGCCATTGCAATCCGCCTTGCATGAACGCGCCTCCCTCGCTCCTGTTCGGATCTGCCTTTCTAATACAGGCGCGTAATTGCGCGCACCCAAGAAAAACAGGTTACACTCGGTGAAATAAGTGGCTTTTGTGCGCACTTATTTTTTGGCGTATTTTTCATCGCAATGATGCTTTGGATAATGCTGATACGTATAAATAAACCTGCTATGTGCCTTGGCCTCCATCAAATATAAAGTGCACCGTTCTTCTCTATGTCACCTCTCCTAAGTCCTGGTGAATTTCCACCTGTATAAAAGCCTGAATCCAGACTGCAGCGTGATGATGACTGCAGGATGATGATGACACATCCATCTATCATCGACAAAGAAGCCTAATGACATCTAATTACCGTGCATATATCTGCTAATAATGTAACACTGACTATCTATGCTCCTGCAAGCCATAACAGAACTTATGATCTGAGATAAGACACTTCCTCCAAAGCACAGGCCCTTACAAACAACCGGTTCATTGTTGCTTTTAAATGCCAGCTCACATCGACCCATTTCAAACCACAGGACCATCATTTTCGCCACTGAGTGAATTAATCCGTGCGTTGTTTGAAAGCATGACAAACTACCAGAGGCTCAACAATAAACCATACAGGGTGGCTTCCAGCAAAATGTCAACATTATGACCCCCAAGTAAAAGTCTTGCCACTTATGGTGGCAGGATAAGCAAAGGCGGACGGGCTGTCAGGACAGTACAAGTCACCAGGTTTTTATTTAAGCATCCAGTGGCAGCACCGGGATGGAGAACGGTCAGAGATCTGTGACAACTATTTTTAAAAGCATATTCACTTGTTTATGTCAAATCTAATCTTATATGTAAGCATTAATGCATTTGTTGTCTGGGGTATTTACCATATCAATATATAAATACAACAAAAGACAAATTAACTCTGTAATTTCCAAAACCTTTTGAGCATGCAAGATTATCTCTGGATTTAAGCACCCCCCTGAAAACATTCTGGAAAAGCTTTTTGTTACTTTGATATACTTTTTTAAACAATGTATTCAAATCTTTCAATAATAGAATATTATGTATCTTACTTTTTTAAGTTGAAATAGAGCAGAATCAAACTATGGTTAAGTAGGGCATAACAAAGCTTCATAAGATAAAGCGTCGACCGTTAGACATTGCTGTCATTCAAGCTATGGCACGGCCTGCTAAAAGTTCAGGAATAAGGAACTTAAATACATTTCTACTAGGTCAATAAACATAAAAGAATGTTGAGGAACATGTAGTCTACAATCTAGTTTAGATTTTTGTATGGAGTGTGATGTACAGAACCACCGTGATGTAAACACATTTCATGAATAACAACAATAGATTGGACAATTTTTTCAGCACTGAACTCCTCTGAAAACACTAGAACAAGGTGTTGTTATTTTCTGTACATCGTAGTTCCGAGTTGGATGGGAACAAAATTGTCATTAATTTGGAATTAATATTGTTTAATCAACCTTTTTTCATTCAGTGGGTTTGACATTTGATTCCCCAGTCTTTGTAAAACGAAACGTATGATTAAGATTTGAAATGAAAAATACTCACACTATCCCTTTGTACTGAGCAGCATGGAAACTAGCTTCCATTACCGGACAGTTAACATTTCTCTGGTCTGTTTTTTCAGGTGTCAGTCTGGCTTTAGAAGCATCTCTCTCCGGTTCGCTGCAGCCATGACGCTGCGCGTCATTGTAACCACGTGAGTTGTGAGCACGTCTTTAAGACAAAGCCCCAGTTCAAACACAGCAGCAGCCCTGTCTCTCTGTGCCTGGGTCAAACTGTCAAGGGACAGACATGGTGTTCTGCGAATTAGACACGCTTATTAACGCCCAGACACGTGGATCGGTATTAACAGGACAACCGAATGGATATCAACAAGAATAATCTTGCTCCTTAAAAGTTTTTTTCAGGTTAGTTGTAGCTCTGTCGGTTAGGCATCTGCCTATTCCACCTAAACACATCTGCAATAACATATCCTAACGTGCTGTTAAACCAGCATATCCACCAACATGGTCAATTCAAATGTGCTCTATGAAGAAGAGTTGGCTTATATAATGATGATCTTTAATATAAATACAGCTGTCACCATTGTCATTTTCTAAAGCAATTATAGAGGTAGAAACATATGGTTTACAAGGGTTCACTGTGAGAATTTGATTCGTGTATTAATATTTTGTTAGTAGTCATATTATTTTATTTCTCTATTAACAAGCCTTATTTATCACAATTGTTTTAGATGGTTGTTGAGGATCTGCTGCAGAAGTCTGCAAATATCCAGCCTCTGCTGTTAGATTCAAAGGATCCACGATTTTTGACACTTTAATAGTAAAATTTAAATAAATACAAAAAGACCGGAGTGCAAAAATATGAACATCTGCATTCATCTCTGGTTCTATTGGCTACAAACTCTATCTATAAACTGATCTGCTATATTCATTTTTGCTTTAGGGAAAATTGCGAAATTAACAAGAAAACATAGAAATAAAACACGTATATTGTGTTAAATATTATGTATATTATTTTAAAGTGAAATGTAGAGTGAATTTTTTTTTCACACACATTTATATATATATTTTTTTAATCTTCCCTTAGATAAACGTAATGTACAGCCTGCTTTCTTCTTCTCTCATATCAGGCATTATATAAGTGTTAAATAATAATATTAATGGCGTTGTAGCTTTATTTGCTATAAAAGTAGTAAATGAAACTAGTGCGATATAAATACCTGCCAACTCTCTGCATTATTCAAAATAGCTGTGTGTGGTGGGTGTGTTTGTTTGTGTGTGTGTGTGTATTAGTGTATTTTCTGAGATGCATTTTCTTTGCCTCTTGCATAAAGTGAAGGTACAGTACGTTAATGCAGATTGACTTTCCGTTCTTCCTCTCATCAGCTAAACACGCCCCCTGGGTGCGTCACGTCCTACCAAATATAAATACAGTTAGACGTCCACTCCAGTTATGCCCTCACCTACTTTATTCTATTCTATTCAAGTCCCTTCAGTTTTATTTTGCTCTAATGTGCTCAGTTCATTGCTCTTTATATAGGATATTTTATGATTGTTTTTCAAATACACATAAGCTGCTTTCATGCTGCTTCTAAAATATGAACAAGTCGCACGAATAATCTCCCCAAAATCGTCGCATGTATAATTCCCTACAAATTAACATTTACGTTTTTCTTTTTTTTTTCTTTTTATAAAATTCAAAAGTATCTAAAATTGTAGAATATTTAAATACAATAAAACATTTTCCCATGTTCGTAGTGTGAAACAAGGGATCCTCGTCTCTGTCCATGGTGCTGAAACCAACGAAGTCCTATTTGTTACATTTAGATTTATAGATGTATGTGACTAAAAGATTTTTATAAATAAAAGAAAAACGTTTGAGTTTAAGTTCATTTAGGCAGCTTAACTTAGCTAAAACCAAATTAATTAAAATCATTGCCTATAGTTGTGTTTAGAAAAGGATAAATTCAATATCAAATATTGTATTTTATGCTTTCAATTTACTGCATTCTAATAAGATCTAAACCAAAATGCCAGACGTTTTTATTTTTGTTAAACTAAAGGAAAATGAAATGTATCACTATTTCAATTACTCCAACGCATTATTTGTTTTAATCTATTTTTACTATGAAAAAAGAAATCTTAAGACGAATTTATAACATTTTATTTTCAGCTATGAGTTTTATTTAACATTTCGTTTCTGTGAGGCTGGTTTTATTTATGAAATTAAACAAACTGCTGAAGTTTAAAAAAAATTATCCTATTTTTTTATATTTAAAAAAATGCTGACTGTTTATTTGGTATTATTCTTATCTAATTGACCAGAAAAAAATATGAAATTACACCATGCTTATATTTTGTTGAACTGTGAAATAAAAAGAAGAAAAGAAAGACAGAAAGAAAGAAAAGCTGTAGTTCTCTTTACTGAACATGAATAATATTTTAAAAGCAATTGATATATTAGTCAACTTATTTCCGCAGAAAGTGTAACTCTTAAAAAAGTAGAGAAATATTTATGTGTTTCTGGAAATATAATTTTCTTTTTTTTTTTTACGTCAGAAGTTATTGCCTCTATATTTTGACAACTTCAGAGGTCTTAGCAATTTATTTCACACGGTTGCTCCGGAGAACATGTTCCCACAACCATAAATGTGTACCCACAAAACAAGGAGTAAAAAAAAAAAAAAGCAAAAAAAAAAACGTCTGATAATAGAAAGAAAAAAAGTCAACATCAAGTTCAACTGCGTGCTGGTGCTCATTAGCATCACAATGCTGTCTGGGAGCACACACAGGTCTTCTTAACAAGGGGCTCTGGCGTCAAGTCCCTCCACCTCCCAGCCGAGGGGACATTTTCCCAGGCTCTACTAACAATCACACAACTGTTTGCTTTCTAAACGCCGCAGCTCCGGGGCCACTCAGCCCGCCTCAGCTGCGCTCAACGTGGGTCAGAACAGACGGGCTGCCCCTCATTAGTCTGGTTTTCACTAAGAATGACAGCGACACATTTAAGCTCACTTTAACCAATTTAACCATCATTATAAAAATGTTACAACAGATTTTAAGGGTAAAGAAAGATTTTAAAATTTAAGGAAAAATGGCTCATCTTGAACAAGAATTACACGAGAAATACTTACAAGGAATCAAAAGTGAATAAATCCCACGTATCAGGATCTCTCATGTATGACCAAAACCTAGAGTCCAGGAATCTCACCCTGCGAAACGCGTCTTCAAAGCTGCACAAGTTGATCCAATTCAAAAATAAAAAGGAAAGGAAAAAAGCCTGCAGCGAGCAGGCATCTCATTCAGCATCTTCCCACTTGAATGACAGTATAGAGGAAGCTGCTGTGTCGTGGGTCCCCTCCCCCCTCTCTCTCTCTCTCTCTCTCTCTCTCTCTCTCTCTTAGAAGACCCGCACAGTAACGCAGCAATCTCTCTGGACCACTATTGATACCTATAGTGTGAGTTGGAGCTCCTTGTCCTTACTTGGTCTCAAGCATCTGACAGGCATACTGAGGCACGTGCATCCGTCTCTGCGTAGTTGTGACTGCGCGCGGAGACAGGTGGAGGTCGAAGCCACAAAACATTTCCTTTCTTTCATTAACAAATTACAAAAGTGTTTTTCTCCTCAATTGAGGGTGAGATGGAATTAGAAGTCTTCATACTTTGATGAAGGGGTAGATTATGTGGCATAAATTGAGGGCTACACATCTGATTTCTCCTTCATGTCCCGCTGCAAAAACCATTACAGCTGTTCGAATGAGTGGTCCTCACACCGGCACGCATCTCTTCTCTGGAAGGCAATTGTCGTAAGAGAGAGAACGAATGGAATCGCCCGATGAAGCAGCAAACAGATGCACGTTTAAATGTGGTAGTTCCCATATGAGCGTCTGGCACTGGAAGAAGCAGTTACTGTCCAGCAATCTGAGATGCAGAAGGTTTAGACGCGGTGTGCGCGGGTCTGATGCCGCAGCTGCAACCTCGGCAGCGGCCAGCAGATGCTGAAGCTTATGTCTATCCTGAGCTCCGGTGAATCACGTTGACTTACGTTGTACGACGTCTTCTATGCGCAGGGCCGGCGATTGCTACAGGCGAGCTAGGCAATTGCCTAGGGCGACAAATGTGTTGGGGGCGCCCTCTAGGTCGCCCTTAGGCTTACTTCCCATTAATCATAGAATTAGAAAAAAAAGCGAATTAAACCGGTTATGAAGCGTCCGTCAGTTTGACTTAACCTTACGTATATATAAATAAATAGCAAAATATGAACAAATAAATATACCACCGTTTTTTTATTTATTTTTTCACATTTAAGAGAAAATCGGAAAAGATTCTGATCACTTTTCAAGCGCCCTCCAACCCGGAAGTCGTGACGTCAATCACTGCAGCATGTACACCAATATTTTGGAATGAAATTGTAAGCAAACAGATATTAAAAGTAAAACAAGTGAAGTCTGACACTTAACTTTGCTCGCGACTCGAGGATGGCTGAACGGAAAAGACTCCCCTCTCCTCCTCCAGCTGCAGTCGGCCCGTCTTAATCATCCACTCAGAGTACCACTGGTGAGCGCACACAGACTTTGTAGCTTGTCCGGTCAGTTAAAAATATTAATTGTGAAATCCGTCTTGTAATCGGAAGCATACAAGCTAGTTAGCTTGAAAAGTAAATAAAGTTTCAGACGTGCTGCGTGATGATGCGTTCAGATTGGCTCAGTAAAACGATAATTAGGTTATCATGATGCATTCAAGTGTAACGTAAAGAAAACGGGAAATTTAGTTTTTGGCGAGAAACATGAGTAATACAGTTGTACATTGCTCTATATATAATTAAACTACTGATGCCAACATTTATTAAAAATTACATTTAATTTAAAATACAATTATTTATTTGTTAAATATTTTCCTAATCAATAAAAACATGATGAAAAGTGACAGTAGACAATACATTAACCAACAATTGTGAAAATATATTCTAGTTAGTTTTATGTCATTTCCAAGTGGCCTATTACATTAGCCATGTTTATTGAAGGCTAGAAACGTTTTTGTTATGCTCACTTGTTAAGCAATAGAAGCAATACCAGTTCTGTTAATAAAATTTTGTTGCATCGTCTTTCCACCAAATAACAGAAAAGTATAGATAGTGGTATCGATAAAGACTCAGATCGATAAGGAGTATCGATAAAGGTATCGATATCATTAAATATTAACGATCCCCATCCCTAATGTTGACATCATTTTTTTCTCAGTATATATGCAGCAGAATTATGTGCTGTATTATTAGCTTGAGAATGGGTAGAAGATACTAATATAAATAAAATATTTTGTAGTGATTATCTGCATTGAGTATTCAAAAGGGATGTACAAATAATCATCAAAATATATGAAGTTATGGCTGTTCATCATAGAATATGTGAACAAAAAAAAACAACAACTTCAAACTTTACCATTACAAATTTTGTAATGGTATTCATAAAAGAACTTTTGTTTGTAGAGGGTTAATCCTTTCTTTAATCACTAATCAATGTCAGAAATCAGGGTAAATATACCTGATATATTTTATTTAGAGGAAAATTTTGTTTATCTCATTTCTATTTATGTTCAAATGATTTAATTGAACTGGAACAGAAAATTTAATTTAATGTTTATCAATTACTTTTTTATGTAGTCCTTGGTTGAAGAATTTCTTAAATTTATTATTTTTTATTGTTATTTGGTAATTTCTGAAATTGATTTATTTAATATTTGTTTAATGTGTGTTAAATTTGTTAATTGTCTGAAATAAATTCATTCAATGATTCAATCCAGTTTTTTAGTTATACTTTACCTAAGTGTCCTTACAGATGGTTAAAAGTGTTTTTGCACAGTCCTAACTTTGAATGTGTAATAAATTATTTAAAATAATAAAAAAGAAAAGGTACTGCAACCTATTCTGGTATTTGTCTATGCATCACTCCATGCTAAGTTACAGTTTTTTCTGAATGCTTAAACACAACCTTGATTCTTATAGCACAATTTCTAAAACTATTAATACTTAAAGCAAATCCACTCACTGAGTTCACAAAACTAAAAGAACAAACACTGCTTTGCACTCAATTAGCAATTTTGTAACACACACTTTGCACAGCTGTAGGCACAATTCACCGCACAGGGGGGCGCAAAACTCAATCTCGCCTAGGGCAACCAAAGGGCTAGAACCGGCCCTGTCTATGCGTAACTAACAGGACGCAGGGGAGACAGTCGAGTCTAAATCTCGAATTTAGAGAGGTGTTAAAAATAACTCCCAAAAAAGGACTTAGTCTCCAAAAAGCAACAATCAGAGCGCAAATATGTTGGAAGAAGTTGAGGCAGAGAGGTAAACGCGGTGCCCCTCAAAAATGACGAGATAAGCAGCGTGGTGACGTAAGGCGCCACTGATTCCAAAGCGCATCTAACTGTGTGGGATGTTGATGGTGGGACGTTGAATCTGTTTGCAAAGCTCTAGACTTGATTTAGAGAATACCCCCCCCCCCTCTTCTCTGTTAATGAAAATTTGAATGCTACAATATAGAAAAGGAGCCTTAGAAGGCTACTAAAGACGGGATAAATGGGATTACTTGTAATGATTGCGTTTCACTACAAAAAAACAAACAAAAAAAAAAAAAAAAAACAGCCTAATTTGAGTTTCAAGAGTTTAACATAGACCTATCCAAGCTGCTGTTGTATATTAACAAAGTGGGTGGGAGAGAGAGATGCACTTTCAAGACTGGAATTTTATGAACGAAAAAAAAAATCCCACAATAATCAAAAAGCAAATAAATAAGTATTAAAAAATCTAGAATAAAATGGATTTATGGTGGCTAACCAACCTCCTTTTACACGCACCCAGTTATTGGGACACTGAATTTAGGACAGCTTTCATTTTGCTCGTGAAATTAGCTCTAATCCACACGTTTTAGTAGTTCTAAAATGTTGCCAAAACATTTTTTTTCCCAGGCACCCAAAGCGTGCCATTATTGTGGAAGGTTTGATGTGCCACTGATCGTTGCTGTGTGACACATGCATTAGGACCAATGCCCTATACTTACTATAATTTGCCATGAAAACAACAAAGAGAGTCTCAGGCTTTTTTGATGAATTTCAAAATCTACTGTTTATAAATCTGACTTTGATGACGGAGATGATCATTTAAGTCCACATCCAACGAATACACACTTGCCTACGGGCCTCTCTGAATCTAGGCCGACAGTCTTAGAATTAACATCAATCTGTAGCGTGAAACTACGTCACCCAGTGGTATAAAGGTGGTACTGCAGGCCATCACGGGCCTGTACAGATAATGTTCTCGGCCTGAATCTACAAGACCTTAGAAATACACGAACCGTCATAACATGTAACGGATAAAATGAAATGATACTAAAAACATCTGGAACAAATTTTATTCAACTTTAAAAAGGAATAAATGAAACCGCAATGCTGCTAAAGAAGTGACTTTGTTGGTCAGACCGGAAACGCGGCCTGACATGAATCATCTGCTGCTTGCAGAAGTGCTGCCAGTCTGTAATCTGGACGCACATTAAACCTGTACTCTTTTAATAACGCTCATTTTTAGGGCGATAAACCAGATCTTTCTTTGTAAAATGGTTTTAATTAAAACGACCACACTTCAAAGAAAACCTGCACCAATCAGTGCGTTTTTAATCAATAGGACTTGAAACAACGATGGCTATATTAATCTATAATAAAACCATAATTGTGATTTTAATTTTAGTAATTAAGATTCGTTTATTTTTCTCTGCCATTAATATAAAAGTAATAATGATGAAAAATATACTCAACGTTTTCTTAAGGAAGGTCACCATTACAATACCTCCCAATTGTAGGTTTCACGATTGCAAAAATTATAAAGAATAATGCAGATTTTTTGTTGTTGATGCTTTTTATTAGGGATTCTGAGACATTTACACATTTAGCTCTTGTTTTTTATTTATATCCATTTATAATCATGGACAACAAACTCGTTAATATATTTGGGATACATTTTCCAAAACGCAGGCTTGACAAAAGAAAAAAAAAAAAAAACATTTGCAGAGGAAAATAAAAATTCTTCATGACTTTATTTCATGAACACGGAGATGCACCAACGCGCTATTTTTGAAGAAATGCATAATGCATTTTAATATTCAGAATGTACACATGCATGTACAGGAAGGCAGGATGCAGAGCTCTGATCAATAATCTACCTGGTTATCTCTTTTAAACCATACCGGTGCTTTTGTTAGAGAATAGCTTCAAGCTGTATCTTTCCACTCTGAAAGTTTTCTGTGTTGATTGAAATAGTAAATTATATATTAAAACCAATTAGAATGACAACTTTTATCATAATTTAATTATAAATATGATACTTTTCACATAGGACTTT